GGGGGAAGGGTGGGCTTGCCTTTTGAATCCAAGATGGTGACCACCAGGCTCACACATATTTCCTCCATAGTCAAAATGAGCCCCCATGTTGGAAATTCTTTCTGACTTTAGAAATGTTTCCTGGATTCTTTCTTCCTCTGTTATATGTTTTCAATAGGACGATCATTCTAAAAAGTGCATTATTTATTTTAAAAACAAAATATTAGGAAAATATGTTTTGTTCTGGATGATAATATATATATTTTTTCCCCTTAAGAGCTCAACTTTAATTTTATAACATGTGCATTTTTATGAATCAAACTATTTTAATATTATAAGGAATAAATGAAGATTATATACATATAAACTTTATGATAAAGCTCTCTTGTTATTTTCCAATGTTAAATTAAGTTTACAAACTTTTGTTGTAATTGGAAGTTACAATACCTATTAAAGAAAATAAGTACCTTTATTCAAATTCAAACTAAATAGTGTGATCACTTTAAAATTTTGTTCATTTTCCCTATATTAAAAGTTCATTAGAAAACATACAATTTATCTGGCTAGACCAGAGGATATACACTGGTACAGATAGGAACTGGAAACACAGGGAATGCAGGGCAGATGATCCCTTCAGGACCAGTGGTGAGAGTGGTGATACCTGGAGGGTGGAAGGAGGGTGGGGTAGAAAAGGGGAAACCTTTACAAGGATCTACATATAACCTCCTTCCTGGGGGATGGACAGCAGAGAAGTGGGTGAAGGACAACATCGGGTAGTGTAAGATATGATAAAATAATAACAATTTATAAATGATCAAGGGTTTATGGGGGAGGGGAGCGGGGAGGAAGGGGAAAAAATGAGGAGTTGATACCAAGGGCTCAAGTAGAAAGCAATTGTTTTGAGAAGGATGAGGGAAACGAATGCACAAAAGTGCTTGACACAATAGATGGATGGATGAATTGTGATAAGAATTGTACGAGCCCCCAATGAAATGATTTTTTTTTAATTCATTAGAAGATACATATAAGATAATAATATATAAAGAATAATATGTGAAGAAAACATTAATGATAAATTTATTTGATATAACCAAAACCACTTTTCTGGCTGAAAGTTTAGTTAATTTACATTTGGGGGGGGGTCAGGATGGAAAGTACTAATACAAAGTATTAACAATGAGTTGGTTTCTTGCTATTGAGAACTTTTTTATTCCTTTTGATTACTAATTTGAAAATCTAATTCATTCTTTAAATCAGTGGTTCTCAGCCTTTCCGATGCCATGACCCTTATGTTGTGGTGATCCCAACCATAAAATTATTTTTGTTACTACTTCATAACTGTAATTTTGCTACTGTTATGAATCGTAATGTAAATACCTGATATGCAGGATGCATTAGGCGACCCCTGTGAAAGGGTCATTTGGTTTCCAAAGGGGTCGTGACCCATAGGTTGAGAACCACTGCGTTAAAAAGTCTCGCTTTTCCACAGCTACTGGTCTGCAACTGTTTTTATGGTAGCAGTTGTGGCGTTCTTTTGTGGGAAAGAAAGTGTTACCCAATGTAACATCCCTCTTTCCCAGCCAAAAAAAAAAAAGTCTCGCTTACAGGTAAAGGGTAGGTTGGATTTATGAAGCTACATGGTCTTAAAAAAACAAAAAATCAAATGCTCAGATCATTATTGACAGGTCAATAATTTCAGATCATTATTCACAAGTCAAATCTTAATGAGAAATCACCAAACCAATCTCCTTCCTATTTTGTATTTAGCCTAACTCTGTCCTATATATACTTTGCTCCTCAAGCCTATGTTCCAGTAATTTTTTTAAATGAATTTTTACATTGCTGAAGAATGCTGTAGAATTTTTACAATGCTTCAGATTCCGTGGTGTCTGCATAATTTTGGCTTGGAAGATTATTGAAGACCCTTTCATCCATAGTGTCATATAGATATCTAAGTAACATCATAGATGCTGCTCTTGTTGCTTCATCTGATTGCTAAAGTATATATTTACATCTTGTGATTGTCATTTTTACTTAATATAATAGTGTTAATTATTTTGTTAACTTGTTCCTTTTTAAGTTTGTTTACCTACAAACTTAAGATTCACCTTTTTAACTTGATGATTTTACAAATTAGTGTATGCTGTCCTTGATTTAAAATGTGCACACGATATTCAATTAGTAAAATACAGTATTCCACGTGAAACAATTTGGTGCAATCTAGGCTACTAAATGCAAACACCACAAAATGTTACATGAGTGAAATGTTCTAATAAGTAGCAATAAGATCAGCGTCTTTTAAAAGAGTTAAGTAAAGTAAACCTAAAGTTCTACATCGCGACTAGTTTACAATGATGGTCAGTTCAAGAAAAGGTTCATTTCATATTAAATAAATTTAGCCAGTAGCAGTAATATTGAGGAAGTATTGTGCATATATCACTCCAACTACTTCTATATGGTACAACTGAAAAAGAGTGACAGATCTGGAAACTTGAATTTAATGTTACCTCTGAAACTTTTAAGTATTTTATTTTACTATCTTTCACTTTGTCTAACATTCCTTACACATTTTATTTAATTTTGGTATTGCATTAATTTGTAAATTTCCTTAACCCTTTAAAAGGATCTTGTTTCCTAACAGTCATATTTCCACTTCATCCATATATCATGCAACTCAATTGTTCAATCATATCAAGAAGAGTTATACGATCATTATTACAATCAATTTTAGAACATTTTCTTCTTCCTTCTACTCATTATTATTCATGTAACTATTTTTTTCAGTTGGACAAAAATATACACGACAAAACATTCTCTATTTCAACAATTTCTACAGGTATAATTCTGTGCCATTGATTATATTCTTCGTGTTATACAGCCATTATTGATATCCCTCTCCAAATTATTCTGCTACCATTAAAAAAAATGTACCCTATGCAAAACTCTTCCTCCTTCACCCCTGGTAATAATAGGTCAAGTTTGGTGTCTTTTTTAGTAGTTTTCTTGATATAATATTCACATTACTATTGAATAACCATGGTCATATTAGGTTTTGTCATTTACAGATAACCTTTTGTGTTGTGGAATCGATAACCAACAAATTTTCTACAAAAATAGACTTATACTGGACTTATAAAAAGGAATAATAACCTAAAATCAGAGCCCATCAAATGGAATAAAGATGTATAGAACTCTGAAGAGTGAGAGGACTCATGAATGACAGCAGTTGATCCCCAAATTACACCTGTCACACTGAGATGGCTGTGTGAGCAGGTGCATTGTCGTAGTGTCAAAAACAGTCCCCATTCTGCCACAAATTGGGCTTTTTTTGTTGCACACTGTTATGCAATTTTTTCAGAACTTCAAAATGTAGAAAACTTGATTAACAGTCTGACCTGGTGGAACGAACTCCAAATGCACTATGCCTCTCACATTTAAAAATAAAACAGAGCATCAGCCGTAATCTTTGATTTCACTTGAGGCTTTTAAGTGAAACCATCACAAGGTGATGATGGCATCTTCGCTGGCTTGATTGGTGTTTGCTTTCAGGGTTGTAAGAATAGCACTATGTCTCATCACCAGTCATGACCTTGGGGGAAAAACAGTCTGGCACTCTTCAGAGCTGTTCTTTCAAAGCATGACGCGTTTCCACTCCTCACTCTTTTTTCTGGCCAGTCAGAACATGAGACACAAATTTCACAGCAACCCTCCTCATTCCCAAATCTTCCATTACAATTTGCTGAAACACACTCCAAAATAGTCCACATAACTTCCCCATCTCTCCAATGGTCTGATGTCAGTCTTCCAGGAAAAGTGCATGAATTTTGTCAACATTTTGGTCTGTTCAGGAAGTTGATGGACATCCAGAAGGAGGTTTGTCATCAATTGACCTTTCACCTTTTTTGAAATGAGAAAACCACTGTACACTCAAGTTTTTCCCATAGTGCTGTCCTTGTCAGCGGCGCTCAACATCACAGCAGTTTCTGTGGCATTTTTCCCAAACAGGAAACAAAATTTCACGGCCATATGCTGTTCTTTTAAATTAGCCATCACCGAAAACAAGGTTCAAGTGAAACTGCCTTTACGAAAAATTCACTGTGACCAAAGAGTACCTTCCCAGGCTATGCCACTAAGTGCACTAACTCAGAGCGAGTTTTTGGATGCTCACCTAGCAGGAAAAATGTGTTCTACAAAAGATGTGCCCAGCAGAGTTTTTCTGTGTGTGTGTGTGTGTGTGTCCCCTTATATTGTCAGCACTTTAAAAGTGTCCTTTGTATGTAACCACTTAAAAGAGTTTACTATAATTTAATCTATTTAAGTCTGGGGCAAAACTTATTATTCCAAGAACACTACAGAAATATATTCATTGATGGATGTTTGTCTATTTAAAACCTTGTCAAGGTGCTCTAGTATCTTAGTAAGTTAAGAGTAGAGTTGCTTATACTCATCAGTTGAAGACCACCAGTAGCTCTGCAGGGGCTGCTGAAATCCTTGAGCAAGATCCACAGTAGACTTACCAAGAAGGGCAAGCAGAGAAAGATAATAGAGTAGTTTGAGAATATACGCAGATTTGCCTTGTTGAAAAGATGAGAGACATTCAGATTAAGCCAATGGATTATTGACAGAATTCACTCACGGAAAAGACAAAAGTCCTGTGGCTTTCAAGAGTTACCTTAGTAGAGGTGCTTCAAAAGTTGACCAACCTTGATCTTGAATCAGCTGAGGGGAGAATTATTTTAGACACCCACTTCATTAACCAATTTGCCTCCAGCATCCATAGGGAGCTCCATCATAAAGCTTTGGAACTGTAAAGCAACCTGAGGTAGTTAGTTTATTTTGCCAACCTGGCCAGTAAATACTTGTGGGATTAATTGAAGGGCGGAGAGATAAATGGTTCAGTGAGCCTTCCCTTTCTTGCTCTTGCTCTTTGATCATCAGACCAGTGTGCAGCTGCCTTGCCTCAATTTGCAAGCTACACTACCTGTGGGACACCTAACCCGTGGACTGTGTCACTGTAATTTGAGGTTCCTTCAAGACCTGCTTCGCCACCATATTGGAATTTACATCTCTTGAGCTGGGGACTGTCGGATCCTATCATCTGGCTGACTGTTGGTGACCTGCCTTGATGTTTTCTGCCTGTGCCTGGTTAGCCTGAATTGCTCTACAGAGGACTACCGGGTGACCCTCAATACTTGAAGGACTGCCAGTGTCTCACAACTGTCTCACGGGAGTGGGTTGCACAGAACCATTAGTACTGCTTTATAATTTAATTAACTGTTTCTTTCTTATGTTATATATCTAGCTATCTGTATAAATATATATATAATTATTAGCATTCTGGTTTTGTTTCTCTAGAGAAACCTGTATAACACACAACCCAAATGAGTTCTTTACAATAACCTCAGTGTATAACAATGACGAGTTAGAGGAAAGAAAGAGAACACCAAAAAACCAAAATTTTAGGCCAGGAGTATGACTAATTTAGGCCCTAGACCCTAAGGTGGAATAACTGGCACAGCCCATAAGACTTCAGCCCAAGTTACTAGTTAAGCCATGTGGTTGTGGGAAGTCAGGCCATGTTCAGTTCATATGTTGCAAGGCAGTTCCTCTGGAGAAAGGGGGTTTAGAAGAAAGCCTCCTCTCACTTGGATCTAATGTGGGACCCTGGTACAGCTGATCCGCAAATCCCCTAAGCAACTTATGGTAATAACTGAACCTGTCAACTGATGAAGCCCCGGCTCCTAAGCTATGTCCAGCAAGACCTTTGACATCTACTCAGTATGTGTAGACATTGCCAAGTAAGTTAATCTGACTTCTGCTGGACATTGGGGCTACTAAAATCCTTTGGTGGTTTCTTAACCTCCTCTTTTCTCCATGTAGTTGGCATAAATGATTCTCCATCAAAAAGATTTCTCACCTTTCCTTTGCTTTGCATCTGGGAATTTCTCAGTTGTTCCTGAGTTTCCCTCTGACCCCACCCCATTTTAAGAGAGATTTTTTTTTTTAATTGAGACTGGGAGCACAAGCAACATTCATTCCCAAACCTACCACACTGCTCCAGGAAACAGCAGGCTACTGCAGGATTTGGATCCCAAACTTTGGGGGCATCGCAAAACCTTTATGAGGTTCTTAAAAGGTGAGAATTAGAAGAGCTATGATGATACAAGTTCTGATAAAAGGTTTTTGAAGCACACAAACTAGCCTTGAGTAAGATCCTAGCCTTAAGGCTTGCTGACCTAGAAAAACCTTTTCCTGACATGTGTCTGACAAAGACCAAGGTGGAAGTAAGAGTTCTGCTACATTTGGGGGGACCTGAATCACAGCCAGTAGCATATATGTTAAAAATTCTGGTTAATTCCTTTCCTGGAGCCAATAATAACCTATCTGCCTTCTGTTGTTCAGCCCATGGACCTTTAACTTGCTGGTCTCTTCCTGATTTCAGCAGTTTCATGTAAAAATGATGGTGATGAAAGGGTAGAGTCCTATCCCACTCCAGTTGGTGGACCAGGCAGCTCACATGTTTAGGGTAAGCAAAGAGACCAAAAAAAAATACAGCCCCTGCATCTCATCAGAGCCAGGAGTAGCTAGATGGGTCACTGTCCCATATCCTGAA